CAAATGTCGCCCTTTCCCCATCCCTGCTCTGCCCAGCAGGTAGCTCTGCCTCATGGGCAGCGTTTCACGGCTACTGCAGCGCTAGGAACTTCTCTTCTTTCGGAAAAACAAACATAATTCAAGAAAAGTGAGTTAATACGTAACTATAGCGTACAACAGATGCTGGCATCGCATTAGTGGTACAGTTAGGCTCCTGCGGATGGCAGGTGGCGACTCCTGACTAAAATGTGAACAATTTTTCATTTCTAATATGAAATTTGGCACCACCCAGCTCTTAATAATTTCAACAGGAAAGAAGTTTATGATTCGTGCTGTCTAATGCTGAAAAGTAGATTTTTCTGCTAGTGCACCAGGAGCTGGGTTAGTCGCAGGGCAGCATGGAGTGAGTGGAGAGGACAGGGTCCCTTGCGGGGACGCGGGTCCAGGCCGAGGTGAGCTCGCTTGGCCGGAGCTCTTGGGCACAGCTGTGCCACAGAACTGGGGAGATGCTTTGCTGAATCTCAGTCTTAGTTTCTACCATGAGTCACCGCCAGAAACATATGAAGAAAGTGTGCGTTCGCGTGGCTGGAGACGTAACTCTGTCTTTTCAAGAAAGCAGCCCAGCTCCATGAGACCCCTGCGAGCCACAGCCCTGGACATCGCGGGGCTCCATGTCCCCACTGGGAGCACCCCTGGGCTCCATGCCCCTGCCTGGGGAATCGTGGGGCTCCGTGTGCCCACCAGGACATCCTTGGGCTCCATGTCCCCGCCTGGGGCATCGCTGAGCTCCGTGTCCCCATTGGGGCATCCCTGGGCTCCGTGTCCCGTGCCCTTGCCGGGAGCATTGCTAAGCTCCGTGCCCTTGCTGGGAGCATCCCTGGGCTCCGTGTCCACACCTGGGGCATCCCTGGGCTCCGTGTCCCCACCAGAAGCACCCCTGGGCTCCATGCCCTTGCGGGGAGCATCCCTGAGCTCCGTGTCCCCCCTACCTGGGGCATCCCTGGGCTCCATGCCCTTGCGGGGAGCATCCCTGGGTTTCATGTCTCCACCAAGAGCACCCCTGGGCTCCGTGTCCTCACCGGGGTCATCGCTGGGCTCCGTGCCCTTGCCGGGAGCACCCCTGGGCTCCGTGTCCCCACCAGGGCACCCCTGGGCTCCGTGTCCCCGCCCGGGGCATCCCTGGGCCCCGTGTCCCCACCAGGACACCCTGGGCTCCATGCCC